TCCGACCATACTCGAGATATGACACACCACTCCTCTATCTCTCCACTTTCTTCACCATTAATAACCAAAATTTAATAGCATCAATTCCCTTAATACACAAACCTCTCTGAATAATTCCATATATTTTGGACAAAAAGCAAAGGAGTTATTAAGCTTTAAAATTTGTTAACGCGTCTTTTAACGTTTGTTCGAAATTCGTCACAAATGACGATTCGCAGTTCGACTGTGTTTGTGCTCGGAACAGTGGCGTAGCGTAGTGGGGCGGCAGGGGCTGCAAAAATAAATTTCATGGGTTTCACAATAAATAATAATAATATCTTGTAAAAATTTAAACCATTTTATTTCATATTTTTGTCGTACCTACGATTCGGACAGATTGAAATAAGCCCGGAATTTTTAATTACTTATTCTGTGACGAAACTGAAGTTTAGTCTTTTAAATTGGATACCTAAATAAGGGGGCAGCGAAATTTTCCTCTGCCCCGGGCGGCTGACACCCACGCTACGCTACTGGCTCGGAGTCGGGCGTGCTTTTCTTTCGTTCGTAAATTGTGTGCTTTTATTGCGGTTTCCAGAATTTTCAAAAAAAGAAAAGAGATTTTTGAGTTACTTGTTAGTCCATATTCACCTTAGACGTAAGAATTTATTTAATATTCCCGGAAGAATCGTCGCGAGAACTCATCTCGGCCTATCGTTTTCGTTTTCGATTCGAATGTTTGATTTAGAAAGGAAGCTGCGATGAGCATTTTGTCTTTCTGTTTAAGCTTTTGGCTTTATTAATTTAAACTTTTGTTTTCACTCGACTAATTGCAAATTTTCTTTTTTTACAGAATGAAGAGATTGGTGCGGTTTTGGCGGCTGTTCCGGTGGAGGAAGGCCGTTGCGCCGGAGGGGGGGTTTCTCGGACGGCGCGGAACGACTTTGTTGGACTCCTACCGCGCCCGAAGAGACGTTGGAGGAGCGTGGGATGGACAAGCGAGAGGCAGCGGGCGAAGATGACCTTTCCCAAGTGCGCGTGGCGTGGCATCCTCCCGGAGTAGGGATTACGCCACGCTACACTGGATCTGACGCACTTGGCCAAGGTCTTCGGGGGTCATCCGGCCACTTCGGAGGTCATATGGCCACAGTCTTGCTGCGCAGGATGTAGAAAGTGACGGCTCGTCCGAGTTGACTCTTTCCGTTCGGTAGTGTTCTGCCTGTTCGTCCGCGAGGCGACGCCACTGCCTTGCGGAAGTCGGAACGGGGAGGAATGGTAGGAGAGAGCCGCCGAAGTCGAGGGACCGTGGTATCTGTGGTTTTGTTGCTGCGGACGGTTGTGGTTCCCTTGGCCTAGGCGGTGATCCTCTTCGATTTTCCTCCTCTTCGCCCGGATGCGACATTCTTACCGGATTAGACACTTTTCACCCGGACTTGACACCTTGGGAAAAGACGTTCGGACTTGAGAAAAGTCTTCCTTGGGAAAAGACGTTCGGACTTGACATCTTTTCCCGGACGTGACCGTCCGGGAAAAGGTGTCAAGTCCGAATGTCTTTTACCAAGACGTGACCCACGGACTTGTCTCTCGAACGTGACGTGACACTCGGTCGTTCGGGAAAAATTAACAAAAACTGGGGGCCCAAGACTTAAGTCCTATTAGTTAGGCTTATCACGCGTCCCGCTTTGACCGGGACTGTCCTGATTTGATGATGCGGTTTATGCGTCCCGGCCAGTTTGTCATTTTGTCCCGGTTATTTGGTAAAATTTTAAAAGTACAGAATATACAAAAAGTAAAAATAGTGCAGCCTCGGGAAAATGGCGATTTAGCAACTAAAATGTCTCCTCTTTTACACCAGAGTCGATAGATATAATGGTCCTTAAACTATGCTCTTAAGTAGAGTTAATGTGTCAGGTTGCCGATAGCAGGAGTGAGAGTCGCTGTTAGACGAGAAGTTTGTTTATCTATTTGGTTAGTAGGTAGTTCAGTGGCGTAGCGTGGGTGTCAGCCGCCCGGGGCGGAGGAAAATTTCTCCGCCCCCTTATTTAGGTATCTCAATTTAAAAGACTAAAATTCAGTTTCGTCACAGAATAAGTAATGAAAAATTCCGGGCTTAGTGTTAGTGTTGCCACCTTATTAAAATCGCTGACCCGGACGGCAGGTGAGGTTTGTTCGAATAGAAGTTCCTGACTCATGCGTATGTCATTTTGCAATGAAGAATAATGTGCAGTGCATGCTGGTTCTAAATCAGTTACAGTTAGCGACTAGAGACACTTGGATAGGAGTACCGCAAGTGACCTAGCTGTATTGGATACTAGAGGTGTCCAATACAGCTAGGTCACTTGCGATACTATGTGGAGGAATAAATCGTACAAGCAAAAAAAAGGCAACAGGGCGCGTACGATATCCCCGGACGGCGAGTCGATTCCCGGACTATCCGGGTGAATGGTAACACTATTCCGTGCTCATTTCAATCGGTCCGAGTCGTAGGTGGACGAAAATATGAAATAAATTGGTTTAAATTCTTACAAGATATTATTATTATTTATTGTGAAATTTTGCCGCTCCCTAAAACGTAATTTTTCCGCGCCCTAAAATGTGCCGCCCCTGCCGTCCCCACTACGCTACGCTACTGAGGTAGTTTTCCATTTTCAAGAATTTTTGAAACTTTTTTTCTACTCTTCTATCAAAAAATCTTATTCGTAATTACATTTTTTAATTTTATATCGTGTATAAAGAAAGAAAAAGTATATTTGGTTTATAAAAAAATTGATAAAATGGTAATTTATAATTACAAATGAGGATGTGGATAAATCGAAAATAATTATATTTTTGATTTAATTTATCCAGGTTTTAAATAGAGATCTGTTTAAAACTATTATATTGCTACATATTGTGAATGAAAATTTTGTACATAATGTTCTGAGTATAGCATATGTGAGGATCCTTATCCAGACTTTCAATATGTTTATATCATTATCTCCTAACATCACATTGAAGCTATACTTTCGTTAAATAACTGTCAACCTTTACACCCAGAAGCAAAACATTTGTTAAGTTCTCAGACCTAGTAACGACGCTTTCTCATCACCTCTCGATCTAATATCTCGATTTCAACAGTTCAAAATATAGAACAAGACAACACAGTTGGGGAGTCGTCACCGGTTCCTCGATCGGACCACTCGAATTATTTTTCCCTGTGTTACGTATAACCTGTGCTCTTTTGGATACCTCCTCGCATAATATCTAGCTAACTCAGAACTGTGGGAATAAGAACTGTCGTCCAGAACTGTCTTCCTTTCTGTCCAACTGGCTTGCAACAGATCAAGGTTTCATACAAGGTATTTATCGCCACGCGCAACTACTGTAAACTCTCTCTCTCGATATATCGTATGTCCTGCATTATCCCTTTGTTACCTATTAAACCGTTGTTACGTTAACCCGTCTCTGAGTAAGTCACTTCCGGTGTGTTGTCTCTCCCTCCATCCCGAATCCGTTCGCTCACACACGCGATCGTTCGCGTGAGAACATTTCTGTGTCTGTCTGAAAAGACACAGTGGTGTCTGTTCTGACGAACCTTGTCATTGCTATCTTCGCCGACGCGATGTCGACTCTTCGGTCCCGTGGTGCCAAAGTATACGGAGGCTCTAAGACATTGTCACACATATCTGTTTAATACAATAGGTAATGGTAAAATAAGTAAATAAAATTGCATTTTACTGTTTTATTTTATCACATATGTATGACAATAAAATTAGAAAAACCATAGCTCATCCTCTGATGCATTTAAATTGCCATAGAAATTTAATTCAGATAAAGATAAACTATTTTTTAAATAATTAATTACTTTAACACTACATAAAGTGTGCTATACAATTTTACTTGATTTAGTATAGTGAGAAACAGTATTTGGGATGAAATAGTTTTGTATTTTTGACAGAAGAAATTACATTTCTTATGACACTCACGTGGCTCTACATATTTAGGTAATTTACATAATATTCTGCACAATTAAAAGTAGAATATGAATAAAGAAGATCGATGGCCTAATACACCTGCCCTTTGTTTATATAGGCCAAAAACATCACTAACATGACTTACTTTTTTAAACTCCATGTTATCAATAATCACTATCACTGTCAATATCTAATAATGATGTCTGAACTCTTACCATCCTATATTTACCTATTTTATTTGTCACCATTAACTCATCATCCTCTAATTATCTCTAAGCTATCATATGCCTATATCTATAATGTATTGAATGTATATATCTATAATGTATTGAATATGTTATCTAGATAGTTGGAATTTCCTCTTTTTCCTTCAACAGCCTATATTTGTAATCCAAGAAATAAATCTACTGACTTTTAATCCCCCTCTCTAACCTGTTCCTAACTTTTTTGGCTCAACTTTAATCTCGCTCTATCATTAATAAAAACAATATAAATTGTGTTTATTAATGATCCTTTCTCACTGCAAACTACAATAATTCACATAATATTAATAAATAAATAAAAAGATATAGACTTAACCTTGATAAACTCCAAAGCCATCCTAAATCCTAAATCTCTTTTATTTTGTAACACTTTAAATCTATATTATCTTAACACACAGTTTAACATTTCTATACATTTCCATAATTAAATGTATATACTGTAATTCTCATCATTCCTTTTTCTTATTGATTCAGAGAGTTCTCGGGAATCCCGAATAATATATACAGGCTTAACTATAAATTTTTTGACTACCTTTTCTTACCCTTAACGAAAACGCCCAAAAGTATTTAATCATGAACACAAATTTTCGGAAAAATTTCTACTTGTACACAAAAGAATTTACTGAAACAGAAAAATTTATAACCCTCTTAAGAAATAGTTCTCGGATTTTCCTGATTCATTTATGACAAAGACATATTTATCATAATAGACGTTTATTTGATCATGTTATTGAAAATAACTACAGAATTATCAAATAATTTAATTTACTATTCTATGCAATTCTGAATAATAAATTTCAAAAATTACAATCACTGTAACTGATATTATCTGCCCAATTTACCCAAGTAAAGCGATGAAGTGCAGGATCAGCAAACGGATCGATATTTTGATTAATTGTAGGAATTTGGCTCGATTTCCATTTTTCCAAACGCTTCAGCATGTATTCCAGCACCTGAAACATGAAAATTTATTTTAAATTGATATCAAAAACTAACAAATTTCAACAAAACTTTTTAATGAAAAGTTTATAAACATTATAGATAAACTAATTAAATATTCAAATTTATTATTCAATTTTCCCAGTTTTTGTCAAACAATTATTTGATGTTTCGTAACATGAATTTGTTGCACTTTTTTGATATCCGCACTTAAAAAAAAATCACAATGTCTAAGATACCTGTCAATTCATATAACATTAAAACCATACTTTTCCAGAACTCACATTTTGTTAACCTTTTATTTATAAAAAATTATATATTCAATTCTTAAAATGAATTTAATTCATTGGATTTAAAGGAAATGTTCATAGTAAATTCTAAAATTTTTTCCGACAAATCTTCTGGACTTATTTCCTTGCTGTTATTATCTATGCCTGAATATCGTCCTCTGAGTAACCACAGATCAACGTACTTAAAGGATCGAAAAGTCTCAGAGGTGGTCCGACAAGTTTGATAAACGAAAGTGCTGAAATTCTATTATTCTTCAACGAAGCTCTTATTGAAATGGCAATTAGATTCATCTCAATTAGATTAGATCTATTCACATACACTTAAAGAAACGGGAATGGTATTCAGAGTCCGTATCAAATGCAAGTTTTTCTGGATATGTTTTTTCGAGAATGTATTCACGGAATCTACGAATCATTTCTCTTTCATTTAGTTGCAGCCTGATTGACAAGTTTCTAATTTCCACTTCTCCAAATGTCAGTTGAGTATTAACATCTTCAGGCTAAAGTTTTTGATAAAGTACAGTACGCGAGACCAATACTTCAACTCATCGTCTTTGCGCAATCTTTTTTCGATTGACTCTTTCAATTTTGTATAGAATGTACTTGGGTCAATAGGAGAAACCTTTTTTGAATCATTTTAGTGAAGTAAAACTCCATGAAAGCGAAGATCGTACAGCAGCAACAGCACATTTACAAGTATAATAGGGTCCAAAATTCTGTCTTCTTTCTTCAAAAACTTGTACCAGTATTTTTATTTTCTTATTTGCTTTGTACAGGTCAATGTTGCTCTGGATCTAAAATTAATTCTGATAATTCTTGGAGAGCGTCACACATCAATCCTAGGTCCAATAAAAATTCTGTATGTGATTTTTCTTTTCCTAAGTGCATAAGAATAATTTTATTAAATCGATGGCCGGATAACCGAGACAGTTAAATAAAATTAAATTACCGCCTTGTTGGACTTGGGTTTTCTAGTAATTCCCAAGAATGTTTCATGGATATGTGGAAGGGCCGTTCCACTGTGAACCAATTCAAATCTACAATGGATTGGAAAACATTCTCTCTTAATGCCTACAGAGTTTATTTTATTTTATTTTACATTCTTTATTCCTCTTTGCCTTGTAGGCCCAACATATCTGGAAAGGACTACCCCGAAAACTTTATAGTTTTTCTACCCGTCTAGAATAATTTTTAGGTCTCCAGAATAGTAGGATTTCACTTTAATCATTCGGCCATTCGACCAGTACCCAAGCAGTGGGAAAAGTTTTAAAAAGTCAATTCATTTTAAAACCAATTAATATTGAATTTTTCTTACCTTTGGTTGCTCATTTGCAATATTTTCTAGTTCGCAAGGATCTTGTATTATATCAAATAAGCATGGGGCTGAATTAGGATCACAATTACTATTATTCCTTTTCGAGTCAGAATAACAGTTATCTGGCAATCTGGTGAAAAATTTGTCAGTATTGTACAGTAATCCTTCCTCTTCAAGAACTTTCCAAGAATACGAGGAGCGAAGTAACTTTTTGTAGCAGGAAGAAAAATAATCATCGTCTCTACCGGAAGGTCCGTACCACGCATTGTATTCTCCATTAAAATTCGATCCATTTACCAGTTTGTAATTTCGGAATCGAAGAGCTGAAGCACCGTCGATTGGATCTATATTATGAAGAATTTCTTCTCTAGATGTAGGTTTGCCGTGAACTAAAACCTCCCATTGATTTATTCCATAGATATCCGTCAAATCTCTAACATTACCACCTAATAAAAAAGAAAACTTAATTAATAAACAGGTTGATCGAACAAAAAGAGTACTCGCGAAATGTAGCAGGAATAATTATGACATTACAAATAATATTTTCGTCTCAAGTAATGATTAAATCTTCAATGTTTACTTGCTAAGGAAAACATTTAGTAAAATCATTTTCTATTCTGAATGAGTAATTATTTATTGTGACATCGTCATAATGCCTGGCTGCATTTTTAATCATGTTTTAAATATTTTTTAAATTTAGAATATATGCTCTCCACCTCAAACTAGTAGTGATTTCCCTCTGTACAGTACATCATACTTTTCTGTTAGTAATAGTCGTGCCGGTCATCTATCTAACTCTTTCAGGGGAAAATTATGAATTGAAATAATGCGACTGCCGGAAGTTTGTAAATAGTTAATCGGGGTCTCCTGTCCCTAGATTTTCCATATCTATTGTCGGCTTTGATCTATGTAACACCGCGAGATTAAGAAAAGACAGACTGACGAACGACAATGGAAATTTATAGGTCTACAATTTTTTTCAAATTGGAGCCCAATAAATACCTAATTAAGCAAGTGATTTACAATTATACAATTAAAATAGTCTGAATATTTTCAATAGTTGGAAAACAAGATCTTAGTATTATCTAGTCTCTTCAGATAAAGCACAAAAGATTTCGTGAAATTCCTTTCTAGTCATGCCGAAATATCTTAAATGATTTCTTAAATAACTTTTTGTTTACATCACGTCTTTTAGTCAAACATTGACTATTATCACTAAAAATTTGTATATGCACAGATGATTTCGAACCGATAATTTTGTTTAAAATGACAGTAATTTTTATTCTCTATGTAATAATTTATTGCGAAAAGTCTGTTTTCTGTTGTAAAGGAATTCAAATAATCATAACAATTAAATTAAATAGTGAATTAGAAATATCTTAGGAGTCAGCTACTAAATCACGGCGTCGCAAAAATTTTTCGCGATTCCGAATTGCTTGATCTATTACAGGATAAATTATTACTTATATCAGATGAAAAACAATAAGCACTCAGAATACCTGCAGCATGATAAAATGTCGGTAACCAATCCGTGATGTGAATTAAGTTCCTTTCGATCCTCGGTTGTTGCTTAAACAGTTTACTCCATACAAGTCCAACTCCTCTCACTCCTCCTTCCCATAAAGTTACTTTATTTCCTCTTAAAGGCCAATTCGAACCAACTCCACCTCTGAAACCAGCAGCTTCTCCACCATTATCCGTAGAAATCACAAAAATTGTATTATCTAACATAGAATTATCTTGCAAGGCCTTAAAAACTCGTCCAACTGATTTATCTAATTCTGAAACCATTGCTAAAATAATAAAAGATAACGGATTTTTAAAAAGTTGTATTACTATGTGCAAACAGTTTAGTTAGTTTGATTAAATCTCCGTATTCAATTTAATATTTTATGCATATTTAAAACTTATTTACCTGCAAAATTTCTTCTTTCTTGGTTCTTTATACATAGAAATTTGAAGACTTCATTTTGAGGTGCTTGAAATAGATTATATGAGTTTCCAGTGTGCACAGCATTCGGCGCTAGATATAGAAATAATGGCTAAAACAATAACAAACGTATGCATTTATATTAATTTTATATTTTACAAAATATAAAAATTAATAACTTAAAATACACAAATTAAAAACCTTTTGTTTTTCGTGATTTTTAATAATATCGATTGCTCGATCTGTGAATAAATGAGTGGCATAAATTCCTTTATATTCTCTAGCGACTCTTTCGTTATCTCTTAAGGAATGTCCGCAGAAATACTGAAATAAAGTACAGTTAAATTAACAACAATCTACTCTGTAAAATGTTGTGTTTAAATTTGTCACTATGGAATTATGTATAATAAGAATAACCTTTAAAGTAGAATTTTCATAAGTTTCATCTGTAGTATAGTCGTAATAATCTATCAGTGCTGGCCAAAATCCAAAGAAAGAATCGAATCCTCTTCTTGTTGGAAAATATTCTTTTTTGTAAAACCCTAAATGCCACTGAAACGCATTTACTTTTTATTAGAAAAAAATATAACAATCGATTTTACGAAAATATATCAATGATACTAAATCCTAAAAATAACTATTTTCTTTATACAAAATAAAATAAATATTTCGGTATATACTATGTATTTGCATAAAACGACATCCAAGTTATGAGGTTAATATATTCACTTGATATTATATTTCAGTCAAGCAACCAATCACAGTATTAAATAAAAATATAATGGATGTCTGTATTATTATCTTTTTCGTGTAATGCAATTTCAATTCTTTTATTCGCTGTAAGTTTGTATTGAGAAAAAACACTTCGATTCAGTGGCGTACCGTGGGTGTCAGCCGCCCGGGGCGGAGGAAAATTTCGGCCCCCCTTATTTAGGTATTTCAATTTAAAAGACCAAAATTAAGTTTTGTCACAGAACAAGCAATGAAAAATTCGGTGGTAGTGCAGCGACCTGTTTAAAATAGTTCTATTGAATATTAATGGTGTATAAGAACGCGAATGAATCGTACAAGCAAAAAAAAAAGGTCAACAGGTTTCGCAGGATTTCCTCGGATGGAAAACTTAATGGTTCACCAGGACGGCGAGCCGATTCCCGGACGATAGCCCTATCGTAGGTTCGATGCAAGTACAGTAGACCCTTATAAAACGGGTTCCTATAATTACGATTCCTATAAGACAGCGAAAAAATTGCGACGGTATCCGTAAAAAAACGGTCCGGTAAAAAAAAATCCGTAAGTCTAATACAGTACTGTAATTTTATACATTTCTTGTGAAAGAAACATTTCTTATTCAACGGCGACTAAAATTATTTATATTAATGATGTCTCCGAAGTTCAGCGAAGTTTTCGCAGAAAAATAACATCAGAAATTGCGGCCGCAGTTTGCTGAGCTGTTCCGCGACGAAAACAAGCTTGAGCAACGGCGATGTCGAATGGTGCACACTCGGTAAGTAATCCTACAATTTTTTGTTTATAGCGTATTTTATACGGATTATTTCAAAAAAAAAAATAAATAAATATACGTATTTTGGAAATGTTGAGTCGGATTAGTCTAGAATCGATTAATTTTATGGAAGAAAACCTTTCAAACAGCCGTAGTCCGTAAACTTGACACGTGTCGGGCTGTGATTGGAAGGACTCGTAAGAAATCGGATTCCTAAAGAATGGAACGTAACTACTGTCTTATAGGGGGGTCGACTGTATAGATTAGGATGTTTCAAATTTTTACAAGATATTATTATTATTTATTGTGAAATTTTGCCGTTCCCTAAATTTTGCCGCCCCCCTACGGTACGCCACTGCTTCGATTTGAAAAATATGCGCTGTGTTATTTTGGAGCCATAGACTAGCAATATACACGTAATGAAAATAGCAAGAGCATGCATGGCCTGTGGGAATGAAAATTGCACTTGTCTCAGTAAATATTTTATATCGAAATGCAGATGGAAATTTAATTTTTCTCCTGTCAAATATGAGAAATATGCAAAATTTGTCTTTTCTGGTGTTTTTCATGTATAATGAACGTGAATAAGTGCAATATCATGAAAATATAAAACACAAAAACAAATATTTGCTGTTAGTGAACAAAAATAGTAATTGTATTATTTCAGTGATTATTCTATTTTTCTTAGATATGTATTAATCCATTTATGCAACTATGAATTTATTCGTTTATGCAGTAGAAGTTTTGTTAGATTTAGAACGTGACGAGCATAAAAGACGATATAACATGATCAGAAAAAGATCACTCGGGCCACGTGTAGTAATTCTGCAACACGCCTAAAAATCGAGGGTAAAACTGTTTTTCAATAATAAAGACAAAAGTATATTAAATGATCATAATTTTTGTGCTATTTTGTCCATAAAAAATAAAAGCATGGCCAGGTGTGATATTTTATGTCTCTCTATTCTGGCACTTAATGTGTTAATTACGTCAGAAATTGATTGGGATATCGAAATATAAATCTCATGAAATTTGATTTGATATTTACAAATTTAATGAAACGTAAATTTATTTTTGAAAAAGTAAATTTCACTTATAATTCAAATCGAACAAAAATGAATATGCCTGCAATTTTTACGAAACATCCTGTATGCATTTCAAGTTATATAAAATGGCAGTTAATATTTTCATGCATATTACTCATTAAAACAAACCTTTCCAACGCCGTGACTTCGATAATCAAATTTTTTCAAATATTGAGGTAAAGTTTTCACATCCAATGGTAATCCACTTGGCTCAGCAGTGCGAATAACAAGATGCTGCAGACCTGAATTTATATCGACAAGTTCATTAATTCTGTTTGTGAAAATTCTAAAGTATATATTTTAACAATAAAAACTTTTTGATACGTTTAAATATTGATGATTGAAACATATTTCTATAAACTTACCTAAATGTATTGGATGTTTTCCAGTAAGTAACGCAGCTCTTGATGGGGTGCACAGGGGTTGAACGTAATAATTATCTAAGAGTATTGAATTAGCAGCCAAAACGTCAATATTCGGAGTCGGTATTTGTAAAGATCCGTGATAACTTACGTCGTTCCATCCCTATTCATAATAATATTATCGTTATATGATACTATATATATATGTACAGTACACATATAAAATATAATAATAATAAAAAAATTTAAATTTTTTTTCGTCGACATAACTAATTCTTAATTAAAGCCTCATAATAATTGATGGAAATACTTACAAGGTCATCGACTAAATAAAAGATAATGTGAGGCGGTTTTCCTTGGATACAGGAGAGATGAATAAATAGAATTATGCAGACCCTCCACTTCATTTCGAATACAATTGGCAGCCAAAGATTTAATGGTTTAACTTCGAATGAATGCAAGTATAAACGTTCGATTGATAAGGTATGCAAAACTGTTTTCCGCCTTGTTCCTGTAGTTTGAACAGATAATAATTGTTTTAATGATATTTAATTAAAGATGACGTAAAATGAAAATCCTATTCATATACAGTTGTTATAATTAAACATATACGCTCAGTCCCTTATATCTGTATTATAACTTTTTGCTACTTTTTTAAAAAATAAAAGAAAAAATGCATTGTTTTCATCAACACATGTCAGGCAAATGAGGAAATAATAGTCCATTACTCTTAAATTCCAGTTTGATTACGAATTATTTCTATTATTGACCTTTTTAGGTTAATAATTTTGCTTTTTTTAAAAAAAAGACAAAATAAATTATAAAATAATATCGAATATAATTTTTCCGTTAAATTTTTTATTTAAATCTTTACATATTTTGTCATTTATATAATGCTCTTTAAAAATAAACTATACATGTATGCTAATTAAAATATGTTTAATAAATTCGTCTTCTAATAAAAACTGAAAATAATGTTACTGAAAAAGGTATATTGAAGAAAATATTTAATGAAATTTGATTATTTCGTATACCTTTAATAAAAATAAAATATTTTAAACTCTAGATTTAATATTATAATAACAATCATTGATTATTGATACATAAGGTTATAAATATTAGTAAATACACATTTCTTTCATAAATTATACCGTTTAAATTATATTTTCTTTTTGCTTTATAATTTGATACTTTGATAATTAAGAAATTGTATTATTTTTTATAATATTAAATTTCCGTAAGAGATTGAATTATTTATAAATATATACTGTGTAAGTCATAAAAATTATTGAAATTATACTTTTTTGATAATGTAGAGTATAACCAATACTCATTCACTGTAAATAAAGGAACCGAATTTGCAATCTTTACCTTATTAATGATAGTTCAACTATATCTTTTAAAAAAACACAAAAGATACACGCTTCCTTCATTGATAATCAAAAACATTTGATTCAATACACGATCCTCTGTTGGTTCACAATCTTAAATCCTGTGGCCCTAGTACCCGATTTACTTCAGCAATCTCAAAACTATACTCAAACTATAAAATCAAGATAAAACAAGGCAATAATATCTCTCAAACTTTATCTTTATCCCGTGGAATTCTCTCCATATTTATTCAATTTTTACCTTATAGGTATTGATCGCCTCTTTACTGAATTAACTGATAGAATTGTAATAGGAAATACTGTAGAGTCTTTCACTATATTCTTTTTATTGATGATCTTGTGCTTCTGGCCCCAACAAAGATTTCATTACGAAGGAAAATTAATCAACTCAATAAATTTCTTCAATCACTATATTTAACAATAAATTCGACCAAAACTAAAGTTATAATATTCCGCAATAATTGTAAAATATCTGAAAATAACACTAAATTATATCATGAAAATACTCCTTTACAAACTGTAAATGAAATAGACTATTTTGGAGTCAGGTTTGATCGGAATTTATCCTTTAAAGCGCATTTTAACAAAATAAAAATCAAAGCAAAGCAAGCCATAGATAATCTACTATTCGTGTGCTCCAAGTTGAAAACTACCAATTTGAAAATTCACGTTAAATTATTTACGTCAACAATCGTTCCTATAATATATTATGCAAGCCTAATACGGAGTTTAGACTATATATGTTACCGCTAAAGCTCGAAAGTCGTTAATCTGCAGATTAACTAGGGTGATCCGTTAAAGTCGCGAAAACTGTTCCATCTCTCAAATTACCTAGATAATGTGCAGAGTATCTAGGTAATTTGCACATTACCTCCTAGGCACTCGGTAAAGTGAAAATAAGATCTTTGCCACAAATAAATGTACCACAAATAGGTGTGCTTGTCTCAAAAACCAATTGCTATGAAATTCAAAGTGTCACCAATCTTTAGACTGCACTAATAAGTAAGCACAATTGGATAATGTTACCTATGGTGAGTAAAATGGCGGCTCGTCTCTGATTCCAGCAAAGAGAAGAAGGAAACAGTGGGGACGAACGTTCAAATTTAACCTAACCTAACACATTCTAATAATTTGGTTGGTAATAATTATGGTAATTTATTAAAATAGGTTATGTTAGGTTAGAACGTGCGTCCCCACTGTTTCCTTTCTTCTGTTTGCTGGAATCAGAGACGAGCCGCCATTTTACTCACCATAGGTAACATTAACTGCACAATTATATCATGCGATCACCAGAAAAAGTATGATAACTTTATTATTTTTCGTCTCCGGTCCAAAAGTA